AAACTCGCTTTTCTAGATCTGGACAATAGTGTAAATGTTTGCTCTTGCCCCCCCCCCCCCCCCCCCCCCCCGAATAAATAAGCATTTTAATTTTTATCGAGATAATTGAGTATTATTCGGTAGGGGGTTTATAGGCGTGATGACGGACAGATGTATGTAATAAAAGGGTTTCTCAGTGCACGCCGTTTTAAATTTAGACGCTACGAACAGTGTAAATTTGTCATTCTTAGGAAAGCCACAGTATCAGGTATTGACATTTAAATTGCATTGTGATACGCCGAACATGTTAAAAAACTATCTACCCTGCGGACCGTACCATCAATTTGCACCTGTTGCCTGTCCTTCTCCGTGCTCTTTGGCATTATTAGAGAGCCAGAGACACGGGGTGGAACGAGTCCGATTCCTGGCAGACGTCTTCCCTATAACACCGGCTTGCCAAAACTCGATCATTGAAACTCCGGGACATTCGATTAATGCTTCTAAAACCAGGTTATTTATTACAGCTGGTAATACCGTGGACAAATTGGTTTATCAAAGACGAAAATATAGAGTCGCTTAAAATAGTTTATGGTGTTAAGACCAAACTGAAATGCTGATTTCAAAAAGTGGCGGTTTGTAAAAGTGGTTCGTCGTATATGTTACAAAAAGAAAAAAAGAAGGTCATTTTTTCCATCGGTTTGTGGTTACCTGACTGGTTTCTTAACTTAAAATCATACTTCATATTTACTCACAGCCATGTTCATTAGCATACAATGTACTAATCAATGGCCGACCCGGCATAATTTCATAATGAGTAAGCAACTTCTTGCTGAGAACAAGCTAGGTCAACCGATGAAGTTTTTTTGTAGAACAACAGTTATATTGTTAACACACAGACATTCACACATAGTCGTACGCACAAATGTCATGATCTTCGCAGTTCAAATAAGGTTTCTTCGGCAGAAAATATTATTGGCCTTCTTCTGGCAATTTTTTACCAGAATGACTTAATTATAACGGCAGTTGATACGAAACATAGCCCCTAATAACAATGACATTTCATCACAACTGTGCCTGATATTGGCTGAAAAATCCACATTACCGAAACAGGCTGGAACATGAACGGAAAGTTGGTGCTACGACGACAACTCAATTAGCTTCAAAGAGTCGTTTCAGCAAACAGCAAGAGTTCAGTTTCAAGAAGCTATGATTGGATCAACGTTGGTTTGGCAGTATCGAAAAGCCTTGTTTCTCTTTTTTTTATCTCCTTTGATATTTGATGAGATATTCGCCCACTATACGTGATCTTAAAGTCGTTGATTTATATCGTTGATATCATTGGACTTATTGTGTGCAAGTTTCTGATTTAGCTCGTTCAGTGTAGTGAAGTGGGATAGATTTGAGTTCCAAACCAAAAATCCAATAATTTCGTCCTTAATTTGTTTCAAGATAGAGCGTGGGATGTTAACCGCTAGTAAACTCTTGCCATTAGATACGAGAGAACTTACACATGGTGTTACTCTGGCATCGATTTTAACGGTGTTATGAAAACAAAACAAAGACTTTAAATCGCAATTATTGTCTTCCGACGAGCTGTACACTTTTCATTGACGACTCTTCCGTTGGAGAACTAATGCAGATCGAATATCAAATAGCAAGGTGGAAATTCACACAAGTTCCAAACAATGACAGACATGCCGCTAATTCGAAGTCACTGTAGCTTGCACACGAAATGTTCTGGGAGACACGCGGATGGTTTCAAAATACAATATCAAAGAAAGCTTCGTATTTGTATTTCGCTTTATTGGTAATGCTAACCTGTCAGATGGACGGTAGGCAGTATTGACTTTACTGAGCTGTAATTGATATATGTGTGGATTTGCTTGTTAGCAGTATGAAAGAAGGGATTAAAATCTGATTCCCTTAAATGAGCAACTGATGGGCATGTGTATTTTACCCCCTCGCTCTCGTTTCTGCTGGACACTCAAACGTGAGACGCAAATTTGGTAACAATTTAAAACAATTTTGTACTGAGAGAGTTGCCTTTGTTATTGTGAATGTGACCGAAATAGAATTGAAAAGTTTGCGACTAACAGTCTTTATTCAATTTTGTAATTTATAGTCGTAACTTCCTGTAATTCAGCGTGTTTGTTAACATGACAACCATTATCTATATAACGCGGCTGTCAGCGGATGATACAAAGTTTCGGAAATACTTTTATGTTTGGCTTTCGATTTAAAACTAAAACATGTATAATCTTCTCTGCGATGATTGCAATACAACAAAACAAACGGCGCCCAGTGTGGTCATACCAATTGAAAGCAATGGAGGGCAATGCCAAGGGCTGTTTACGTTGATGATTCAATTGGAAACATCCTCCCGCGACAGAGCATGAAAGGTTTTCTTCTTGGCTTCCTAGGAGAATATGGCCCCATTCAGAATAGGGGACTAACTAGCCCGAGGGTCAGGTATGGCGGCCCGCTACAAAGCTTGCCGTCTAATCGGCTAATGGACACTGAATAGATATCCCGTGTGGAAGTGTTCAAGTGGGTTGGTCATATTTAGCTTTCAGACTAGTTAGTCCGCTATTCTGAATGGGGCCTAGAACAGTGGACTAACAGATCCGCGGATCAAATATGGTGACCCACGAGAAAAGATTGTCGCTTTATTCCCGATTTGACACTGAATAGATTCCCCGCGGGGATTACGCAAGAAGCATTCAAGTGGGTCGACCATATTTGATTCGCGTATCTGTAAGTCCACTGTTCTGAATGCGCGATATCACCCCCAAAATCTCTGTTCGTATGACCGGGTATCACATCTAGTGGGAACTTGGGGTATTTATTTGTTTATCCAAGGACAGTGAACTCGAAAAATTGATTTAAAGCAAGTTCCCGCAAAGATGGGTTAATGCGACATTCTACTGGACGTGTCATTCAAAAATAAGTCTCATCGGGTTTAAATGTAACCAGCCGCTTCTCTGCCACGCACACACCCACTCAAACATACGCACACACCCACTCAAACATACACACACACACACACACACACGCACACACACACGCGCGCAAATCTTTGAAGCTCCTGCGGATGATACATGTAGGTTCTACAGTGTATACACCGCCATATGTAACAAAAGTACGAAATTTGAGGATTTTTATCCATGCCCACTACATGTATGATATACCGTCTGTATCACATGCCCACCAAGACCAATTCTGAGTATCTGATAAAAAAATAACAGTATCCAAGGAGACTTAACGTGTTTTTATTCCTTTGAGAGCTGACGCTTGGACCCTTCATCAAATAAATTAGCCTTGTTCCCATGACCAACCAGTCGATGGAGGTTCGTAACACCATGACGCAGGTAGAAAGAGTTTCGTTAAGAGTTTCCTTTTTCATTATTCACAAGAGAAATTGAAAAACCCATTTTACTGGATGAAAAATATATATCCCATACTTATGAGCAGAATCAGTTCCATTAAAGTTTTCAAGGTTGGACAGCTCTCGTCAAGAAAAATCAGTAACGGTTTGTCTGGAGTTTTAAGCTGAAGATTCTCTAGCCTAAGGCGAGAATATTATGATATCATCTGTTGTATGCTTATCCATGGACAAAGCTTATCTTACAATTAAGAATTGGTGGCCATTATTTCAATATAGTCTCAGGCCCGTAGCCAGCAATTTCAAAAGGGGGGTTCTTTTTTTTAAAGTGGACCCTTGCCCATAAAAACTTCATCTGCCTAGATCAAATTTTACCCAGAGTGGACCTTTTCCCAGCTTTCGAACCCCCCCGAACCCCCCCTGGCTACGGACCTGAGTATACATGAATTTTGGAGCTAAAACATTTAGCATTAAATTTCAGTTTATATGTATTTTTCTATCCGTTCCACTAACATATTCTTTTTGTTGATAACCTACATGTTTGAAGTATGATACAAATTTAGGCGCGATAGAATCTTTTGCTATACAAACTGCACAAAATACCGATTTTCATTCACAGTCAACCTTCATATTTTTTAAATGACGAAGAGCAGGAGTTAACTTTAAAAAGTCCCTTATGAATATTTTCTTCCTCGTAGCGGCGATGTATTCCAGAAATACATGTAGAGGTCTATGTTAAATAGAAACCTCATCGATCGAGCCCCTGCATTCTAGCAAGGAGTTAAAACAGATTATAACTCCTTGATTCTAGTACGGTGTATAATCAACGCCAAAGTCTTTTAGAGGACTATCTCTAAAAATTCATCTACCAGTAATTCTTATTTTTAAGACACACTATATTCAGTTGTGCGTGTGTGCTATGTTTGTCACCCTGAGTGTCAATATTCACGGAAACTAATCTCGATTTTAAGCATGCTTCTGCCGGTCCCAATTGTACTGAGAATGAAAGTTGGTCTTTAGTAAACTTTGAATCTCAGGGGGTGTACTTCTGTCGAGACAAAACAATTGGCAAACTGATTTAGTGAGGCGCCTATTAAACTGGAAACTGCACGCCAATGAGCATAACTAGCTGTCAGATGAGTGGCCGGTTTCACCCGGAGACAGAATCAATGACCTACCCGTAATCTCTGTAAAATTAAAACATGAATTCAGACAATAGGCAGTATTACGATGTAAGAATGTTGACAAGCTGCGTCGTATTCTTTGCTGTCTGTACACATTATGTTGCTACCCCATTGATTTTCTGTTGAGCTGTTATGCGGCATATCCTCTGTGTTTTAACCTATAGTTTTGCAACAGTATGACACATGTACCCCAGTAGTGCATACTGGTATGTGCGTCGTGCCACTGTGCCACTTGACGCCGAGGTCAACAAAAGTTTAGAACGTGTCTTGTGTCTAAAATCTACCACAAGGTGTCACTCCGAGGCAGAGTTCTTCAATTTGAGGTGCTGTGATATAATGTTTTTGTTTAAGTGCGCCGTGCATATTTTATAATCGTCAGTACATCTTAAGGTGTAAAAATGAATAGGCATTATGCCCTAAATCTGTAAGGTATATCAATTCTGTATGTATTTCAGATTCCGCAGATTAGTTATGCGTCCACCAGCGAGGAACTCAGCGATAAGTCTCGTTTCGAGTACTTCTCTCGGGTCGTGCCCCCGGATACTTTTCAGGCCCAGGCCATGGTTGACATAGCAAAGGCCCTAGGATGGACCTACATATCTACTGTGGCCGATGAGGGCAATTATGGAGAGAAGGGAATAGCTGAATTTGAAGAGCTCGCCAAAAACGAAGGTATGACCAATAAACAAGCGGAGGATGAGATATCTTCGCGTCACGTCATACGGCACGTGGTTTCTTTATGAGGTTCTCATATCCTGAGAGGCCAATAGTTCGATGTCCTGTTTTAATAAGTTAAATGTTGATATACATATAAACTGTATTAATGCAGATTTTTTGTAATAACGGCTCGGTTTGTTTTAATAAGTTAAATGTTGATATACATATAAACTGTATTAATGCAGATTTTTTGTAATAACGGCTCGGTTTGTAATATCAAAAAGCATTTGTCTGAAGTGCTTGAAAGTTTAAGATGGCACTAGGTATCGTGAACGCTTTCCTATTGTTTGCTTCTGAAATATAATTAAGTTTCAACATTAATATCATTCTACTCTGTATATCGTTAACACTCATTTATTTAACATGACCTATCAATAGTAGGGCAGATTCACATGCTGCCTGAAACCGTTTGAAAGCGAAAGTCGAAACGGAGGGAGAAGTCAGTTTTAATACAACGTCGTGTAAAGTGGCGTCCATTAATTCAGCTTTCTCGTTTAATCAAGGATTATGCATAGCACAGTCGTTGAAAATCCCAAGGGATCCCAGTAAAGACTTGTTTGAGACTACAATCACCGACCTCGCTAAGAAACCGAACGCTAAGGGCGTTGTTATGTTTGTCAATGAGGACAATTGCAAATCCCTTCTGAGAGCGACCATAGATTTGAATAAAACTGGGGACTTTTACTGGTTGGCAAGCGACAGCTGGGGAGCAAAAATTCACCCAGTGGAGGGCCAAGAAGAGGCGGCAGAGGGCGCTATTACCATCCTTCCTAAAAGGAAAGTACTAACAGGTAAATTGGGAGACAAATTGAAGCTCTGTGTAGTGGATACGAAATTAAGACGACTGAAGTTTTCTGCTATTCCTCTCACACACGTTTAGCATTGTGAGCATTGGCTCCAATGAAACAATCCTGTTCTATTGGCGCCAGATGCTGCTGTGGCGTTTTAGGTGTTATTTCATTTTAAATAACTCAGTGTTACTATTATATTGTTTAGAATGTTTATCGTACTATTGCCCATGTATATAATGTCGTTCTGTTACAAAAAACTATGTAATCGATAGATCGTTGCACTTTGAAAACGCCGCAGCTTTTTTATTCCGATTACAACCCGGTCGTGTTTATATCTCTTACTACGTACATGCAGTAACAAAAAGAGTCTAACCTACATGTGTATCATATTGATTGAAAAATAAACCAAACATGGAAATTAAACAACCAGGCAAGATTCAAACATGTAAGACGTACATTTTTATTTGTCCCAAGCATCAGGCAACATGCAAAATTGGACTGATATATTAGTTTTATGATACCATTTCTTTAATGATACGATAGCACCAATCACATCTTTTCATTTCCGTGTCTGTTTTCTGTTCCAGAGTTTGACGATTACTTCAAGCGCCTGAATGCGTCTCATAGCCAGTTGAACCCGTGGTTCGCCGAGTTCTGGGAGCAGCACTTTGAATGCAGGCTCAACGATTCCAAAACTGGGAAAAACTGTTCTGGTGAGATTGACATTTAATTTATTTTGAGGATCACTTGAATACGGTTTTGCATGTCACGGAATGGCACCTTGGTGTATACCCGAGACACATTTTGACTCGCAATGTATCATTGATTTATCACTTAATCTTGTAGACATTGTACTTTTACAAAGGACGTTGCACTTTTACAAAAGATGGATGTAACTGAAAAATGATGATTCCGTAACATCATGCCATACATAACTTAAATGTTTCTCTCATACCACTTCTTTACCACCAGAGGCTCTTCTTGCTGAAACCCTTCAACCGATTTTGAAACAGCTGATAGAGAGTGTCATTGCTCGCCTAAATGAAAATACATACTGATGTCTAAGGGTGGTACTATGGTACTAGGTAGTTCTAAATCCGCGGGGGCTCTCGCTGAATGCAATCAGATTAACAGATTAAACGTCTCCTCCTGACGTTAAGGAGAATGCAGAAAAACTGGTGACTACACTGGTCAGTTGGAGATAAGTGGAGGCGTGTAAATCTTTTAATCTGATTGCATTCAGCGAGAATTCCCCCGGCGTAAGTTCGAACTACCTGTACATGGTACGAAAGTTTCACTATCAACGGACCCTAAAAAATGCTGTTGCGGTTTAAGATTGGTTCTTAAGTATGCCTCATGTTTCAAAACAAATAATGGATAAAGATACACAATTGCGCTGGGTAGTTCATACAGAACATTAAGTAGGTGCCACTTAACATATGCGCACAGTATATTTCACATATTATATTTATCTTCAATGCTCGTAGAAAAGCGACTGGGTGTAGATGACCATTATGAACAGGAAGGCCTTGTCCAGTTCGTGGTGGACGCTGTCTACGCGCTGGCCTACGCCCTTCAGTCTCTCCACAACGACACGTGCTCTTCACCTGGGCTCTGTAAGGAAATGAGACCGACAGATGGAGCCACTGTGTTGTCCTATATAAGGAACGTGAGCTTTAACGGTAGGCTGATTTTGAAAACCAGTACAAAACGTTGGGTGACATTTTTAAAAGACGAGGTTGTTCTCTCGATCACACTGTGCAGAAGTGATCTTGGTCACATTTTAAAACTAAAATTTACTTCTTTTTATTTGATTACTTTTAATATAAGCGCATAAATATTTTTCTTCTATATTGATGAACAATACAGGCACATCTGCAAAATTCGATGGTCTTTATAATGGCAATAATGAGATGACTCGTTTTGTCAATGCCGGACATGTTAAGGTGTACGCATTTTCATTTATATATCACATTTACATAAAATGGTAAATGCCAAATATATTGGAATGTGTAACAATGTTTTCGCAGGATCAGCAGGAACGACTGTGCGTTTCAGTAAGTCTGGGGACGGACAGGGTCGTTATAACATCTTCCAATATCAGTTGACAAATTCAGGGGAGCACCAATATATACCCATAGGAGAATGGACAGACAGGTAAATGCGCATGCTCTGGATCATTCGGAACACCTCGATCGGCTGATTCCGTGCATTGAATCTTATTTTTATTCTACCCCGGATAATCCGGTACACTGTGGTCAAAGTAGGCGGAAATGTTAGCCTGAACGTTAAAACTAATTACTGAATGTTTGAATCTTTTTGCGAAATGGTCATCAGAAATGTTTCCAGAGTGGCTGCTTGGTGCAGTAGCGAAGTAGCAAACTATAGATGCGTTTGCGGTGATCTCAATCGAAGCCGCTGCAGCCACAATCTCATGAAACACAGTTCTTCCTTATCACCGTGGAAGTGAAAAAAATTCAAAGCATTTTACACTTCTTATATACATTAACTCATCATGGATCATTTATATAAACATATGGTGGTGATGGTGGTGGCGGCGGGGGGGGGGGGGGGTTAATATAATAAACAAAGGCAAAATCACTTTTAGTATAATAACCCATATTACATAAACTATTACTAAAGTTGGATCTCTGTTGTTTTAGGTTAAAATTAGACATGAGCAAGACGCATTGGCGCTATGACAACGATACATTTTGGCTACCTCGATCTGTGTGCAGCGAACCGTGTGGGATCGGCCAGGCGAAGAATGTGAAGGGGGAACCGTGTTGCTGGTTGTGCATACCGTGCAGCGAGTATGAGATTCTCTACGACGAGTCCACGTGCATTTCATGCGCCAACGGCACAATGCCAAATCACAACAAGACAGCGTGTGAAGCGCTCCCTATACAACACATGTTGTGGAACAGTCCATGGGCCATTGTGCCGGCTGCGGTGGCAAGTTTTGGAATTATTAGCACGCTGTTCGTTATTGTCACTTTTATACGCTACAACGCCACGCCGGTGATCATGGCTTCCGGAAGAGAACTGTGCTACGTTCTCCTCTGCGGGCTCTTCATGTGCTACGTCATGACCTTCGTGCTCATTTCAAAGCCGAGCGCCTTCAGCTGTGCACTAATGCGACTAGGAATAGGCCTGTCACTGTCCATCTGCTTTTCGGCTTTATTTACGAAAACGAATCGGATTTCGAGGATTTTTAACCGCGGAGTGAAGGGACTCGCAAAGAGACCGAGCTATACCAGTCCTAAATCTCAATTAGTGATTTGCGGTTGCCTTATATCTGTACAACTCATAGGGGCCTCGGTGTGGCTCATACTAGACATTCCCAATACAACACGGGCCTACCCTAATAGAGAGACAGTGATTTTACGCTGTGAGGCCAGCGAATTGGCTCTCGTCCTCTCCTTACTTTACAACATGCTATTGATAACACTGTGTACTGTGTATGCCTTTAAAACGAGGAAGATTCCCGAGAACTTTAATGAAGCCAAATACATAGCTTTTACCATGTATTCCACGTGTATTGTTTGGTCAGCCTTTATTCCTATTTATTTTGGGACTAATCAGGATTTCAAGGTAGGTGCCTTGACGTGAATTAAAAAACCTTAATGATTAAAAAGAAAGTACACACCATTTCTAATAGTAAAAAAATTAACCATGCAATTATATCGATCTTTATGAAACAGTAATGTTGCTTTTCTCTTCCTTTTTTTATTCTATTGACAAACAAACCCAAAAACAATAACAATGTGCGCTGGGTGTTTTTTCGTCTGCTTTCAATTATTTGTTTGGGTGATGAACGATAAAATAAAAACTGGTCGTTACTTAATCTTTACTCTTGCTAAGGTTTGTTACATGGAACAATATACTGAACTTTTCCGAGGTGAAATGTTCCAACCTGTCTACAGACATACTTCTTAATGTGCCAAACTTGTCACAGTATATAAAGAAATTTAATTGCTATAAGTTTGACCTTGCTGTGTGATCCTTTTGAGATATCGTTTACTTTCAGATACAGATCACCACTCTTTGTATGTGCCTGAGTATTAGTGCCACTGCCGCTCTTGGTTGCCTTTTCGCCCCTAAGGTTTACATCGTCCTCTTTCAACCACACAAGAACGTCAGGCAAACCAATTCCACCATGATGAACAGTGCTTCGTCCAAAAGCATCCGGCCTTTCTTTGGGAAATCCGGTACGGTTGGGTCCTCTCTTGGCAACCACAATGACGTCAGTGTTGGTGTAGCGCAAAATTTCAATAGCACGAAGTCAAACGACACGCGGTTAAGTGACATTTCTCTTGATTTGAATTCAGACGTATTTGATGAGGCGGAACCGAATTCAGATCCACCTGAGTGAAAAACGGGGCTGTGATTCTACACTAAGTGACACAATGGCCAATTTTATCTTTAATTTATTTGTTTTTGTACCAATGCAATATTTTCTATAATATCTAGGGGTGAAAAGATGCCAATACAGACCGAGAAATTTGTATGCGCTCAATAAAATTGCACAATTCACGACGTTATTTAATATTTAACCGATGTTTTCTGAGATGAAATACACCGTTGATTGCACGCTCATTTGTAAGGGTATATTCTCTTGGGTATACAACTAAATAAAAATGAAAGGTTGTTGCCCATGTAGATTCAGCACATACCTCACTAGATGCATGGGTTAATACGACTCTTTACGTTATTTATATGACGCTGTATGCATTAAATTGTTTTTGTACCTGTAATCACCTTTATGTTCATATTTACACTTCGTGCGGCTGTGGTAGTATTCAAAATGTATATAGATACTTTTATTTACTTGTTGTTATTAACGCTTTGCTTAATAAAAAGTAGTTACGTTGACGAACGAGATGTTTCAGAATATGCAGATACAGTTAACATACATCCCACGTGCTGTGCGCAAGGATCATTTAAGCAGGCGCCGGAAGTATATGGGAGCATTCAGATTCGGACTTTGTACCAGCTGGATCGATCCAACTCTGCTGGGATTCTCGCTTAAGTGCAGTCAATGTTATCAGCTTAATTATCCGTCACGCCTCCTCGAGCAGCTAAGGGGTAATAACGTCGAACGTGCACGGAAATTAATTACCCCCCTAGCTACTCGAGGGAATTCAGACAGTTCAGCTGATTACACTGATTGCACTTTACAGTGACTTAAACGAGAATCCTACAAAATTGGATCGATCCAACTGCTGCGATGTCTGAGGCTGATAGTTCCCCTAAGGATGCAAAAGCAAGCAAATGTACACGAACGAACGGTAAAATAAGTCATCTATATGCTTTAACAGAGAAATTAATAACAATTATTATATCTCGACAGAATTGAGAATTTTTAACTTGAATTGGTCCAATTCCATAACACGGCTTAAGAAGAAAGCTGGTCTTAGATATAAGAAAGCATTTTATTTTGACCTGAGTTTGTAACGTTTTTGGCCGTATTGTAAGTTATTGCACTAAAACAAATTTATTTTGAAAAAAATAAGTTGTCTGAAGATCAAGACCGAACTTGTTTGACTTAAGATATTTTATGAAGTTAGATATGATCCAGACTAGGGCACGCGGCAATCACAAACTAGTGTTGGCTGGCTTTAAGTACGTGTCTTTACAAACGCCAAATCAGCACTTAATCAAATGCGCACGTGTCAGCTCTGTCGTCGTGCACTAGTATGAAGATTTTTATTTCAGCACTGTGTCTGATGTTCACGCCTAGTTGCATCAGTAGCGTACGCACACTTTCCTGTTGTCTTGGTTACGCGTGTGGTGCACTTTTTGTTTGTGTTCGTTGTGCTGCACTTGTCCACTACTTGTCCAGTGTGTCCAGTGTCCAGTGGTGTTTATGGTCACGTGACAGTGGTGTTAATGGCCACATGGGTGTTAATACAGGTAAGCGTGCATTCAAGCCACATTTCATCTATATAAAAAAACCAGCTCTTAAAGTGGCTCGAAATATACTAGTCACAGTGAGTGGATATTTTGATGGAATCTGCCACAGTATGGGTAGATAAAGATAATACTGTATGATTATAATGAAAACTAAAAATGCAATCCAGGAATTTCCCCAGTCACACATTTCTAGTAATTGCGAGCGATCACTGTTGAATTTCAATCTCCTGTTAATCAGACATATTCAATAGTACCTTTTCCAACATGTGCGCTATTTAGTTGTAATTCTTACATTCACTTTGCTTGAAGGAACGTTTTTGACAGCAAGGGTAATTCTTTTATAACCTCACAGGGACGCATGCTATGTCCAATAAAAAAAAGCAAATTTAAGAAAGTTAAAACCCAATGTAGGTTTTTTCAATAGCATAGGATGCAGTGCGCGCAGGTGTGTGTTTTATTTATTACCCGAGTAAAACGACACATTTAATTATTTTCGAAATTCTAATTTTCGATGTAGAAAAATCTGAAAGAATATTTCTCTCTCACACACTTACACATATTTTCAATACATTCTAAATATCAATCTCTCTCTCTCCTAGATCTCTCTCTCTCTCTCTCTCTCTCTCCTACATTGTCCTTTGATCTCATTAAATTTTCCATATCTCAATCATTTCAGTGGGCCTCGCTGTCCTCATAGCCCAGACCTCAGCCGGCATGGGGACGATAGACGAAGAGCACCAGGACTCTCCTCAAAAAGTCGCTTCAAATGGTTCGACACAGTGTGACGCCTTCCTAGACTCAGGTGCCAACGACTCCCTAGAGGACCTGAGCGTATCCAGTGCTGACCAAATGGACGTGGAGACCACGCTTTGATGTTGATACCCGTATTGCTGCCTGTGGTTTGAAATTTGACGTGAAGATTCAACGGCGGAAGGGTCAGTGGGTGAATACCCACCCCGGGCTCGGCGACAGTGTATTTCAACCTGGCTCTTTTGGCAATGGACCAGTGGTGCTCTCTACCAGGGCTGCATGTATTATAGGCATATTTTCCACCGGCCACCGTTAAAAGACATTATCCGTGAATATCTAGTGAAAAAAAAACAATCTGTGGCCTGGTAGAGGGTACACCACTGGTCACTCGGACTGATATGACCAACGCTATTGAGTTGGAGTTGCATATATTAAGGAAACGCAATTGCTAAAACAAGAAAAAAATATTTTCTCTGCAAAAAGTCTAACGTGTACTTAAGACATTTAATTACTCCCTGTATAGCGTGTGTGGGGGACCCAGCTGAAAAATAAAGACGTCCCCACGCGGCGTAGCCAAGCCGTCACAAAAAGAACCGGCAGCCCACTTCCTGGGGTTAATCTTAAAACGTTTGATTTAAAACAGTGCAGGTTGTGACCTCTATAATAGCGTCTTTCAGCTGCAAGTTCTGTTTCCAGTGACTTCTTCACCGCTGAAGTATAATAAACAGACTAAAAAGACTGAGAACAATGCATTAAGAAAATGTGATACATGAAGGTCATATTATACAGAGATACGACACAGTAAGGAGACTATTCTATATCAGATTGTCCACATAAGAAAGATAACGAGATACTGAGTCCCGGTGGTTTATAGATTTTGAACTGTTTATTGGGTAGTAAACGGGATTGCATAAAGTCTACAAAATGCTTATTTATTGCGACACTGCCGAACGTTTGAAAAAAGCCAGCACAGAAAAGGACTTCCCTCTTGGCAGACCAGTATATTTTGATTAAAATACTCGCCAGGCACAAAGAAAGAGAAGAACAGCTTTATGGATCACGTCATCCCGTATTCGTCTTCTACTTGGCTCATGATTGAGCTAACAACGAAGTGTGATCCATCGTACTCACCGTATTTCCGGGGACTTTTAAATCAAACAATTTATTTCAGAATTAAGATACGTTGCTCTTTTATCTATTTCCGATTTGGTACAGACGCACAAGAAATATGATTTTATCAAAAAAAAAAAAAAAAAAAAAAAAACGAAGACGGTAGAGACACGTCCTTGCAGTAATGGACCTGACAGAAAAAAACTATTCAACTATGCTGTGATCGACTGTATTGAATTGCTTTATAACCATTACATCTTACAAGAAAGATTGAAGATGTTGACAATAAGACACAAGGGTGGTTTTTAACCACAGCTCAATTTGCTCGACAGAATTAATAGATTTCAAAGCAATATACCCCAGTATTTTTACAAGAATAGGAATAACATTTTGTCCTTATTTTTAAACATAACGAGAAGTACCGTTCTTTAGTTTTGCTGCATGCAGGTGGATTATTTAATTAGTGTTCATACAAAGATGTCTGTTTGCTGAGAGAGAGGAGTAGCACGGAACATGCTTTTTCCCTAAAGAAAATAAATTAAGAGATATAAAATTACATTAATTAAACAATAAAAAGATTTTACTCTTAATCTTCTATCGTTGGGTTGTATTACTTGTACTTTATACATTAATTTGTCATTTTTTTCTTACCAAGCCTCATTAAAAATATGGACAGATTTCTTGGAGGTGGAATACAATGTATGACTAATATGCATACACTGATTAGTCATGTTTATTAATGAACAAATCATTCAAATTCTATCTGACAGCTGGCTAATGTATAAAACATCCTTAGCTCCTCTTCTTTAGGCAAATATAAAATTATTTAAGAGCCGAGGGCACTTTTTCTAAAATACGTATAACAAAGGGGTGGAAATTGTGCTTGGTTTTGTCTCGTGTCACTTGTTATATTGTTTTGCAGGGTGGAAAAGAGGGTGCATTTGTTCCTCTAAAGGTGGGGAGGGGGTGGTGGAATATTGCACCCATGGATCCACCTTTGAATTTTTAAGCTCTTAAGTGGAGATGCAAGAACAGTTGTGTGCTTCAGAAAAAAATCAAAATTGCTGTTGGTGTTCTGGCACACAACTAAATCATTTGTAAACTTTACGGCATCTTCGCGGGAGTCCCATTACGAATCGTTTATAGAATGACACAAGCAAGAAAATTTTACCACATGGTATTGATTTCAAAACCCGCCTTTATTCATTCTTCAGTCAATCATTTACATTTCCTCAGCAGTTTTACTCGTCGTTATTTTTTATGAGATACCCACTTTCAATACCAGTGTCTCCGACTGAGAGATCATTACAGCATACTTCATCCCAAGCTTAAGACTGCGTTTACTAAACAAATGAAAGGAATGAAATCAAAACTATCAGTGTATCCAATGTGCATTCTAAAATAAGGCGAGAGCCTTTAAGTATGTAAATATTTAACGTTTAAGTAATTTAACGTACGTAATAAAAAAAAGTTCAATTTTGCATGAACAGTGAAATACACTCAGGCCAACTTTTTGCTTTAACTGGTCGAAATATTTTATAAGTGTAAGTGCTAATCTAGTTGATTTTGACTCTGTAATCGTCTTTTTTTTCTGAATGCGTACACGATTCAAAAATAGGACACGCAGCACCCATCATCCCCCCCCCCCCAAATAAGACCCGGATTCTCCAGTTAACTAAACTCTCATGTACTAAAAAAGTTATCACCAGCAATAGGCTTGTATCGCCCACGTCGTACGAGGCCTACTGCAGGAATAAAGTTCATAATTCCAGTGTTCGGTATTGAATATCACTTTGAATCTTGCCCGAGTTGCTGTAGACCATATGTTTCGTGGCACAGATCTACTCTTCAGAAGTCATGTCGTAACTTTAAGGAGACACTTAAGCACAGGAAAAGTGTGGGTGTGTTGCAAGCAACTTCCGCTGGACGCGTCTACGCTCTATTCATTCGGAGACGCTTATCTGCAGTTTTTAGTGGCGTTCCTTCACTCGACGTTCCTCCGTAGACTTTGAAACGTCTGTGC